TTATCAAACGCTGCACAACGTGTGCTCTAATCAATGAAGGATTGAGTAGAAGCATTAAATAGTCTACGCGTTGGCGATCGAAATCGAAGCTAATCGCCTGAATCACGGAGTTCAAGAATCTTCAGAAACTTTCCGCGTGCAAGTTCCCTAGCTTCCATGATACCTAAGCGATATGCACTGTTCTGAAGGTACTTTATATGTTCCATTAGCTGGTCAGCGGTGAGATGTCCGAGTTCTGCAAAAAACGAAATCTACATAAGCGGTTGAAGTGCAAAACTTTTAATACCATTCAGCTGCTTCATGTCTTCTTTGCTGAGCTGCGCCACACATTGTGTCACGAATTTACTTGGAAAAGTAGAAGAGGCTGGAAACCGCTAAATATTTCTTTCAATAGGCAACTTTTCAACACAAATTTATTAAATATAAAGAAAAACCAGATTAAGAAAACAAACAAAAGAGATCTTGCCTAAAATGTTCAAGATGAATGCCAACTGAACCCCTCACACATTGATACATAATTTAATTATTCGAAACTCCTCTAAAGTGCCGTCCTGTATCACCCTTCACAAAACTTCGGTTGAACAAATCATAAACTTCAATTAGTCAGTGACTACGCTCTGTCTGAGGTTGAAAGAAACAGTGTTCACCAAAATATAGCAGTGTTCACATAACCGCTGCAATTGCGAAAAAGATAACCCTGGGAGACATGAGTATGACAATCTACTAGAACTTTTGGCAATCACCGCCTGTAGCAAAAAAACTCCTAAAGAACTCTTTCGTTATTTCGTTTTTCATTGGAATTGTTATTTCAAAATATACTACGGAAGAATAAAAAATTGTTGCAACGAAGCTATATGAATGCAATAACAAACAAAACTGTGCTAAGTTAAAAATTTGCAGAACACGAAAATATCCATTGTCAGACAGTACTGCCTGTAAAATTATTTCTGCCACTATTCGATGCATTAATTATGACCCATCCGTCATATATCCTGCCCAAAACTTTCTCAGGGACAGCTTGCTAACTAGTCTGTTGTGCATCATCACCTGCTGAAGAAGAATGTTTAACAACACGATGGAGTCTTGCACACAACGAGCATTCGCTTGAATTGTAAATGTACTAGATCAGAGGCTACAACCTCTCTTTTGATGGCGCAGGTGTTTACCAGACCATAATTCAAATCCGCCACCGTTTGCATCAGTGGAACATCTCTGGTTTGGGAAGTACGCGGCGTTTCAGCTTTTCAATACTTGCTGAAAGGCGGATACTGCCTGCTGAATATGAATCATGAATTTCTATCGTGAAGCATATCTTGTTCATCTGTGCTGTGTGTTAGTCTCCTGGTCATCGAATGCAGTGCTTTTGAAAACCTTGCGTGCTATAATGAAAAGGTCACTAAACTAACTTGTCTAACAGGGCCATATCTTATTCCTAATCTCCAGTTCTGAGAATATCTGACCCTAAACAAAGCAGATTTATTCGTTCTTTACAAAGTCCTGTAATTAAATCCATATCTGCGTACAAAAGCAGCGCAGTTGCATAATGTTCAAAAATTGCGGGGTCCTTCATTAGAACAGTTCTTACCCATACAGAGACTGGCCAGATTTAGACAAGATATAAGCTTCTGGAAAGGAATATTCCATGATCAACGAATGCTGCAAATACCCTTGACAGACAAAAGGGATCTACGCAGCGACTGAAGCTCGTCGTATCTCTTCAGAAAATGATTGAGTTAGCCCAACATCGACCGTGATAATCAAATTACTGTTCGTTTTCTCTCGCAATCTACAGCTTCATCCCTTGGTAGTGGCAATGAAACAGAATGGCCCACACTGGCAATCCCAACAAAGGAATCGAAAGATACCTTCTCATTAATCCATGACATCTTCGATTTCTTCACATACCAAAAAAACAAAAGGTCACCGAATGACGGAAGAAACGACACGACGATGCTTTATAGATGATATAAGGAAATGACGAGAGAGCAATACCCATGGTAGCATTTCGATGCCCAAGAGGTAAAAATATGCGTAATTACGTTGCATCGCTGTAGAAGTACTTCTTTAGTAGTTGCGTTTTGTAGCATCGCTGCAGGAATTGACAAATAATTACTAGGAGGTATTTCATGTTTACATAGCAGTTACATCCTTA